TTTGTAATAAATGAATTCCTGGGGGTGTAGGAAAAAAATGATATTACAAAAACATAATATAAGTAATAATATCAACTTAACACAATTAAAAAGGGATGGTTATCCGAAAAAAAATGTTTCGAGAGGGAGTAAGTCTGACGAGTCTAATGATATAAGTGATCTCATAATCAGTATTATGCATATTATATTAACACTGAAATTATAGCTAATTTTCTAAAATAAACAAAGAAATATGACGCTCATCTAAAGTAAATTATTTGTCCCAAGAAATAGGGCAATTGAGACACATAATTGGACCAGAATAATGGACAGAACTCTAAATTAGACACGTCCAGAAGAAAAGAAATTTTCCTAATTTGTTAGTAAAAAAAATCATACTCCATTAAAAGCAACAGGCTGAATGAAGGGAAAGACAATACCCCTGTGAATAAAACCCCGACCAGAAAGTTGGCGCACCCATTGTGCTCAGTTGGACGCCGAACCTTCCGGCGCCGAAGAATATCTTGGGAACAGGATTCAGGTCCGTCGTTGATGAATACGGCGACAGAAGAGAGAGGAATTCTGGGTAAGGCAGAGGAAGTGGTGGAGGAAGGAGGAGCAGGTAAATGAAAAAACAAAGGAAAAGAAAGGTAAATGAAAATATTAACAGGGAACCATTCAAAAATGGTAACTACATGTAATCACAAAAAAGTTTAAGATTCAGAAAATATGTTAAAAATATTAGTAGTAAATAAAACGTTTAAACATAGTAAAAACAGCCATTAGAGAAGGTTTGTGTCAAGTTCTTAAATATAGTATAACACCTAAGAGATTGTGGCTAGGGAGAGCGATTATTAACCAAGATAAAACGGATTAATTTAAAAATCAACTTTTTTTCATTTTAAGACGAGCCAGATCTTTTCAACTATAATAATAAACAACTTACAAACAGCAAAATTATAGAATTGAAACATACGAAATAATGAAGAGATTAATAGTTGGGGTGGTCAGTCAAAAAGAAATTTCTTTCTTTTTGACTGACCACCCCAACTATTTTTCTCTTCATTATCCACGACAGTCAACCAATTACCAATTACATACGAAATAATGTTTTGAAATCAAGTATTTTCTCCTCTTTGTTTGTTTGTTTGTTTGGATGTCTAGGCACAAAACATCCAGGTCATAAGCGCCCGATCAACTAAATAATACCACTTAATACTATTTGGATAGTTGGTACAAAAAAAAAATAAAGAAATGGATTTATAGAATAAAATAAATAAATAAGGGTAATAATAGACATTTATAGATAATAAGATAGAATAGATAAATAAATAAACTTTAAAAAAATGGCAGTAGAATCAATAAATGAATTGAGATTAATAAACAAATGAATTTTTCCCTCTTTCTTGGTTACTACCTGGCAGAACTATTACTTTAAAATTATTACTATGAATTTTAAATAATTTAGGTTTATCAAACAAGTCAACTCCACTTTCTAAGCTTTAAAGTTTAAATTTCAATAATTTTAAGGCTCATAAGTAGACCTGGGGTGGTCCTCGAGGTAATTCTGACATTATCCATACATCAATTACACGGTCAAAATATTTTGTACTGTTTGTCACTAACTACTAGTTAAATTAACTCTAAGCATTTCACATATTTATATTAATAGTGATATAACTACGTGAAATTTCTCATACATGGGTTCATTATTTTATTTTTTTTTTTTCAAGGAAAATAACTTAAGACTATTTCAAAATATACAACCGAAATTTAAATTTTTAAAATACTTGATCTTAATTTAATTTTTCAGGAAATGCATTATCCTGACACGAAAAAGTTCCGAATTAAGTTCAATTAAAAAAAAAAATCAAGATTTAGGATAATATTTTGGGCCTACCATTAAAATTTTAAAAAAATTGTTTTCAAACAAATGCTCATGATTTATTATTAAATAATATAATAATTTATGAAGATTAACAAAACATAGTAATAAGAAAATAAAAATGGTAGAAAACTAATCGGAAGACGAAAATTGTAACAAAACGGTATATTATCACTTTTCATTTTGCAGAACTTAGATACCGTAAAAATAAAAATCTGTCATTAACAAATTCATTGAATGACTTAATTTTATTTTAAAATAATATATGGGATGAGGAATGAATCTTAGCTATTAGAAATTAGTGTTCATAATATTTATTTATTTACTCCACCGGCTTTAGCACCAGTGAGGCGGTTGAGAGAGTAGCGCAGGGATTTGGGTTCCCCGCCTGATTGTATATAGGTATGACTGTATTTTTATGTTTTTAATTTACTTATATTTAGGTTATTTTATTTTTTTATTGTATATAGTTTTTATTTATTATTATTTAGTTATTATTCTACTTTTGTTAATTTTGTTACTTTTTTGTATATACGGTGTGAATGTGTTCATTTATCAATATAATTATTGTCCCTGTGACAGAATATTATAAGTCTAAATAAATAAATATATAAAAAAAAAAACCTTACAAATAGTTGCAAGATCCGAAAGTTAATTGTAATGTTTTTAAATAAATGATTATAATTTTAAAAAGGAATTACTATCTTGGGATTGGAGTATTTTTTTTAAGTTATTCATTTTTTTTTTCTTTTGAGTTTTACGAGTTTTTCTGGGGGGAAGACAGAGGACCGGAATTAATGTCAAAGTTAAAAGCCCCTTGGCACCGGGATTTGAACTCATAATCTTCTGTTTTTTACGAAGTCGCTAGGTAACACGTCTTTTACACACGTGTTAGCCCGCTTGGCCCTGTACTTGCTAATAGAATACAATTTTAAAAAATGCACACGCAATGTTATTTAAATTAATGTTAATATCCACTTTAATATTGAATATTGCCTCATCCGTTCCCAAGTACGTCAGTGGCAGATACATTATATTAAAAACTAACGTACAATCAACTCGAACTCATTTCTGCAGTAAAAATAAAAAAATAAGAGCATAAAATTCAACTGAAACAAATCAAATAATGAAGTTACAACCGAGCAGTAGAATCGTACCTTAGGTAACCATATATTCAACCAATGGGATGCTGCGGTTAGAAAACTATTGGATGAGACAGACGACCGATGTGGTCTACACTGAGGACATTGTACCTATTGTGGTATAGAGGATGATCTAACTTGCTCAAATATTTCCGAGGAGGTAGGAAGGAGGGCGAAGGAAGAAGGGTGCACTAGCAATAAACCAGAGGAGGAAGAAGAGCCTTTGAAGAAGAGGATGTCCTTTGAGAAGCAATAGGTTGCCGGTAATTAATTAATTACTATTTCCCCGAAGATAGACAATATAAAACAATAATAGACAAAAGGTATAGAGGATACCGAGTAGGTAATTAAGGCTCCTTCAATAATGAGATAATGGACGATTGTGTTGGGTGCATGGAGCCTCCTTCTGCAAGCTTGTAGTAATTAACTGCATCTTGTGACAAGATTAATATTGAACAGGTACGATTCAAGCTGCTAAACAAGAACATCAAATGATCGACAATTTATTATCATTTCGTAAGTAATGTTCAACATTATTCAAACCAAACTCTCACAATTGTAAATTTCACATTTATCTTACAATATTCCTAAAGAAGTTCTCAAATTAATAAACAAAATTTTACCAATATATATATACAAATATTTTAATATATACATATATCCAGAATTATTATTAAAAACACATTTCACTAATTTATACATACTAATAGGCCCGTGCGATAAATTCGCATAGCATATTGTTATCAAATGCCAAATTAATAAGCATATAAAATAATGAAACGTATCAAAAGATAAAGGAATCGATTGTTACTTTATCGATAAATATAATCGACAGAGGAAAAACACATAGAAACATTAATTTAAAACTTCATTAATGTTTGGAACCAACATGTTTACAAATTTCAATAAACTGAATTTTAGCTAATAATTGCCCGATTTCGATGATATTTTTTTTCCTTTTGTAGGAAATTTGGTAATATTTTATGTAATCCAAACATAGGGATAGCCCAGGAAAAGGTGTGTAATTTTTTAGTTATTCGCAAATAAACTTTGCTTTCTTTCATAACTTGTTTGTCTGAATTTTCGGGGTGATTGAACTATTATGCCCACCTGAAGGAGAAGGAAGCATTCGAAAGTGAAAAAATTAACGATGATATGGCTTGCCGATCAAAAACACCATCGATAAATATTACGGAAAATAGTACGGAACTATCCGAGTCTTGCTGTACGCATCAACATCTTTAAGGTACAATTTGTCCGGTATCGATCTACAGACCTAACAATGTTCTAGTATTGAAGCCTAGCCAAATGTTTGTATCGACTTTATTTATTTTAGAAAGAAAAACAAAAGTGGAGAATATTCGCGATTCGCTAACCCCCGTGAAATTCTTAACCCATCGGTACCCCATTCATCGTATTTGAGCATGACAGGAGCTTATATTTAGTACAAAATTCATTTAATCATATTTTAATATTGTTGGTTAGGAATTCAATTCTAGTTCTAATAATATAACATTTGATCATTAGTCCTACCTTATTTTTTCTTTCAACGTTTCAGCCCTTCAGGCCATTTTCAAGGGAAAACATTACTTTATAAAACCTTATCCTCGTATTTTAGGTTATATGGGGTTTTCCCGGGGTAGGGAGTAAGGGTGAGGATTAATGCCAGAGTTAAAAGCCCTTCCCACCAGGCACCGAGAGGCGAACTCATAATTTCTAATCAAATTATTTTCGATCACAAGGTTTTGCTGCACTGTGCATACGCGTTAGCCCGCTCCGTCCCCACACAATCTAGATCACTCTTTCCCACACAACGTTAATGATCTTTTTTAAAAATAATATTCCTCTTAAATGTTCCTTTCCCTTTCCCCCCTAAATAATCTATAAAATCGTAAAATATCCAAATATATCACTTAATAATACTATATATATTTAAAATTGTAAATAAGTAAAGATAATTACGTACATTTACAATCATTTCGAGAAATAGGATGTCAAAGATCACTCACCTGCAATAAAAAACAAAACGAATAACATTAAAAATCTGATATATATTAAAAAAAAAATCAAAAATATTTAAATGTTTAGTCTTAGACACCATTCTTTTTCAAAAGAAAAATATGAAAACTCTTAAGTATATTTTTTGAATAAAACTACTCCTCTATTATAAAATTATTTATTTTTCTATATGGTTTCAGATAAATGGATAGAACTAATTCAATTCCATCCCTAATTTACATTCACAATGTGTAATGTTTTATAAAAATATTGAATTTTTAATAATGAAAATTAATCCATAAACTTAAAAAGTTTTGAGAAGGGCAAACAAATAAAAACAAAGATATATAGATAACATATCTACCTCAATTTCTTGAAATATAAATTTATAAAAAAAAAATAAAAAATAGAAATAAAATTAAATTAAATAAAGGAATTTTATCTGTAATATATATCTGTATAGACAATACCTCTAATTTTTAATAATATTCAAATTATGGAAATTCGGATTCGAATAGGCGTAGGTTTGATAAAGTAGAAAATATAATGATAAAGATAATGATTTAATATTTAGCTACTACAGGAGTACTTTTCAAGGGCACTCAATGTTCTTATATATGATGTCTTCAAGGAATATGTGAGTCCGTATACTTTAAAGATTTATTCCACTTCAAGATAGATTATCATTCCAGAAGGCAGGGTCAAGAATGTAAGTCGAACAAAGTTGGCCTATATTTCTTTATTTCACAATTTGACGAATTTTGGGCGTTGGTTGTATTTGAGTTTCGCTAAGGAGCAAGTAATTCTTTTTATTTTTTAAATATCGAATTCTCTGTCACCGTCCTAATATAGCCATTCAAACATTTACATTAATTCGATAGCGGCTGGAAAATTACTCCATATATCACGGAACAAGAATACGTTCATCACCTGAGCAAGACAACACGACTTCTAGAACAGAGACATATATCTTGAGCTGACGACAGTGCTTCAACCATAGGCGACCCAGTTACACACTACAAGGTCCTCATTTAGTATAGATTCTGGTACAAAGGCTGCCATGTCCCCTCTCTCCCTCCGACATTAGGAAATTTGCTATTAAAGTCGCCTACTACACCCCCGAAATGATGTGAAACATAATTAGCCGCCCGAAAACGGAGCAGCGTTGCCTTCCTACGCCATCGATTTCGAAACGCTTTTGACTACCCTTGGCACGGTAGGAGAGAGATATATGCCTAGTGAGACGCGGCCTTATGGAAATGTCTATATTCATTAGGTAAATTAGTCTAAAATCACAACACCTCTTCTTTTTTTTTTGTTTATGTCTTGTTTGGCCTTATAACCTAAAAGGCTAAAAATAGGTTAAAAAATCAAAAACAAAAATAAGATAAGTATTTTCAAACTTCATTTCGTCATTTTATTACAAAAAGTCATTAAGTAACCATTCATAACCTCAGGTAAATAATAAATTTTCCCTCCGTGAAATCAGAAAATGCTGTATTTACAATAAGGAGCGACTATAGTCAATTGGTCAGCGATTTCTACCACTGTTTTTTTTTTTTTTGTGATACTACTTCGACAAATATTTGATATAATTGCTTTTATTTATTTAGAAATACAATAATCTGTCACGTGAATAATAATTATAGTGAGATATGAACACATTCCACACCGTATATACAGAAAACCTAAAATTAACAAAAGTAAAATAATAAATAAATAATTATATACAATAAAAAATAAAATCATCTAAAGATAAATAAATTAGAAACTCAGTCATACCTATATAAATTCAGGCAGAACCCCAAGCCAGGCTTGTCCCTCCAACTATAGAGGGAAAAGCAGGACTTCCCCGCGCTACTCTCTGAACCGCGTCACTGGTGCTTAAGCCAGTGGAGATTGAGCGAGAGCGCAATTTTATATAATTAAAAAAAAATAAGTAGTCTATTTTCGCTTTCGCTTTGCCCGCATTTTAACTGTGTATTATATTATATAATAAGTAGTATTAATCAATTTATTTTTTATTTTTTTGTACAGAATAAGAGAAAAATATTGATTATTGTATTAAATTAGTTATAATGTATCATAAATAACAAAATCATCATCATAAATAATGTATTTTATAATACGTTATAACTCATTTAATACAGTATTCGATATTTTTTCTTATTCAGCATGAAACAAGAAATCTATTGGATACTATAACATGAAAATACAGAGAAAGCGAAGGCAAATATAAATACCGTATATTTTGTTTGAAATTATAACTTTTTTTTTCTCGGCTCCTAACGTCCATTGCAACGAGCGCTGGGATGTGTGCCCAATATTTTTCGATGTGGCATCATTAAAAAAACTTTGGTTGAAAACGGTCACCCACTGACAGTAGTCTCCCCTTGTTAGTTTATATGATAAATAAAAGGGTTTGAGTCATTTTTATGCACTCAGGGGTGCTCAGTAGGGGGTTTATTCATTTTTTGTAGGGGAGGGCCTATTTTAGCGGATTTTTGAATTTTTGAGGGGGGCACATTTCGACGGGGTTATGAATTTTCAGAATGAAAAGTTCCATATTAAGGAACAAGGAGAAAACTTAGAACACACAGCAGCAACTATAATTTTAAATGATATACGATTTGTTTAATTCTACCTTCGCTTGCTGTGTTTTTATGAAAAAATGAGCAATAAAATATCTTGGAAGTGAAGGAAATAGGTTCTTGCGTGATCGACCTTTGAAGAGGATGTGCACCCCTGAATGCACTTAAGGTGTTTTTGGATAAGATCGATATTCACAAAAACATACCTGATACCTGACGCTTAACCATGCTCTAATCGACGATAGTATAAAATTTTAACTGTAGCAAAACAAAATTAGGACAGTGAAATGTATAACGTTCTAAAACACCACCGCTTACAAAACAAGTCCCCAATGGTTAATAAATATTACGGACTTAGGTAATAATAATAAAACGCCTAGACACATAAGAAACAGGCCAGTGCCTGAAAAAAATTATATTATTTGTCGTTTTAATTTATTTCCTTCGTTTTATTGTCCCTCATCTGTTTCACACAACTTTTATTGTTCAATGCCAATTATTACAGTCTTCATGTTTCATGCAGTTCATCTAATTTCTTTAATATGTTTCGGATTTAACTGTAATTACTATTTTCTTTTAATATTCACTCAATTTATTGAATTATGATTCTCCTATCATGTTTTATAATATTATAAAGGCCTACAACTTTCAAATGTTTGGAAAACAATACATAACAAAAAAAAGTCAAATGCTTATTTCATGTCTGAACATTCAGCAGTAAGATGTAACTTCAAACTTAAAGTATATTAAATAATAGTTGTAGAGTCAAAAACTGGCTGACGTAAATGAATCTCAGATTAGACAAATTGTTTCTGGTGTTTAACCCTGAGAATAGAGACTCTGAATACAATGCTTCGTTAAGTTGAAGGTTGTCAAGTTTAATTAATAAGTGCCTTATCTTCATGTCATCTAACACGGTTACTGGCTCAATGAATAAAACTCATTATTAATAAATTACTATAAATTATCTAAATAAAAACTATAAAATCTAATGGTATAAATAATTAATGATATTTTTAAAGTATAAATTATGAAAAAAAAATACAATAATTTCTTCAGCTAATTATTTATATAGAATAGGATAGAATAGAAAATTAAAACCGAAAGGACTTAATTGGCCAACCCAATATAACAAATAAATTATATTACATAAAAATATTTCACCTCATCCAGACATATCTGTTTGTTGTATAAGTAATCATATTTTAGAATTTGTCTATAATTACCTGACAGTTAAATATTTGCATCTTTTATTTATTATATGTATTAAATCTAATGGTATAAATAATTAATGATATTTTTAAAGTATAAATTATGAAAAAAAAATACAATAATTTCTTCAGCTAATTATTTATATAGAATAGGATAGAATAGAAAATAAAAACCGAAAGGACTAATTTGCCAACCCAATATAATAAATAAATTATAGTACATAAAAATATTTCACCATACCAGACATATCTGTTTTGTGTATAAGTAATCATATTTTAGAATTTGTCTATAATTACCTGACAGTAAAATATTTGCATCTTTTATTTATTTATTATTGTATTTTTTATTTTTTTTTCTCATCAAATCTTGAGCTGCACCTGTCATGAACTAGGCAAGCTGTAATAAATTTGGATAATATCATTTTAGGCCCGAGAAACAACAAGATCCAGCAGCACTTCTTCCTTGTCTTCATTTGCTTTCTTAGTTCAGGTAAAAGATATCTCTTATTCAGCTCCTTTTCAGTCGCCTCCTGATGGTAATGTTGTTTGTTGTATTCCTACTAGTTAAATAAGAATTCAGGAGTGAAGAGTACCTTTGTGTTGGTCGATAGTTAGTTATCATAAGTCGGTATGTAAAGTTAAGTTGTTTATGTATCAGTCTTTTTTCTTCATTTTGACATTTGGTCTCTAGCTCATCCTCTTGTCGAATGTTAGTCTATGAAAACGTACAGGGTCCGTCTAAAGAATTTAGTAGTTTTGTAATGATTTAATCTAATTTTCAAAAATTTAATTCACGAGTAATCCAAAATTTAATAATAATAATTTTGTAAGTTGCGTTAGTGATTATGTAAATTCAATTATGCTAGTTTGGATTATAGTTTTTTTTTTTAATTGTTGTAGCATCAGCGAGGTTATAAATGTTTCGATATTGCTAGGTGTATCATAATATACATTTAATTTTCAAAGGTAACAATTAATCTAGTGTTCATAGAAATTTGATTCAAATTTTTATTCCAGTAGTGTTCTGAGACCTAGGGGGAGAACATTTTTTTAAAATTTCAGTGCTATCTTTAACTCCGATTTGAGGGAGAGATCAGACCGTAAAAATGTACTAATTTTGTATGAGTCTATAAACTTATAAAGCTACAGACATTAAATTTAAAACATAACCATGTTTATCGACCAGAATGGTGCATGAATACGATACTCATGGACCTTTTCTTTACAGTTACCGTAATTATAAATCCGTTATATAATGTACCTCTATTATCAGTCATGTTGATTCAACTTTATATCCGCTTTTTCCTCAACGCTCCCTACTTTGTTACAAATAAAAACATCCATAATGACCTTAATGTTTCTTTTATTTCAGATCTGGCCCAATCCAGATATCCATAATAAACTTCAGAATCATCCCAACCCTCTTGTTTCTAACCCTGCTTCCTCTTCAACGCCTGATTATCCTCCGAGGAGTCTGAAAAGAAGATGGCCCCGTGATCTCCTAATGTAGACATATCATTAGAGTGCTACCATTGGGTAGTTACTCAACAAATGTTTTCAGGCCATTGTATCCATATGTTCAAATTTACTGGATGTATTTATTTAATACAGTTGTAAATATCATTAAGAAATAATAATAAAAAAAGCTTTTCTGCTTCCTATATCTCATCGAACCTTTTTTTTTTTTTTTTTTTTTTTTTTTTTTTTTTTTTTTTTTCCCCCTACCTGGCCATTTCTGGCATACGGGGTTCGGTGACAGTAGGGTAGTGCACATGGGATTTGCGCATGCCACTGCCACCAATAAACTCTTCTTTTTTTTTTTTTTTTTACTCTTTATTTATATGTTTATATTTATACATGCTTTTGGATATTTATATTTTTGGGAACAATATAGGGTATCTGTGGTGCAGCCCAGCGTGCGGTTGCACGCTTTAGGAAGGGACTGCACCTTCTCTTTCTTCTTCTTCTTCCTCCGTCGCTTCCTCTACGGCTTCCGGCGGGCGTCCTCTCCCAAGGGTGAAGTGCTCCGGGCCCACCGCCTCCTTCCATCTCCTGATGTACTCGGTGAAGTAGGGGTAGAAGTCCTCGCTCATCAGCCTCGGTAAGTCCGCCTCTTCCATCGCATATAGCCCTGTCATCCTTGATAGCCAAGCTCTGTGCCCAGCCATCTTTTCGCAGCTCAGGACTACATGCTCCGCCGTGTCCGGAATCCCACAAGTGGGGCACAAGGGGTTGATGTTCTTCCCATGCTTGTTCAGCTTGTCTCTGAAACCCCCGTGCCCCGTAAGGATCTGAGACGTCCAGTAGTCAGGTCTCACCCACTTCGCCTCCATTCTGGAACTGACGGTGGGGAAATACTTCCTGAGGGTAGAACCCTTTTCGCTCCTCACCCACCGCTCGTTCCACTCCCGAAGTGAGTCCTCCTCCACCAGCCTCTTCCATCTTCCTGGCTCCTCCTCAGCCCTTTGCCGTAATCCCTCCGGAAGCGAACCGAGTCCGTGTCTTTTGACATCGAACCTGATTACGTCTTCCTTTAGGATCAGGTCAATGGGCATCTCTCCAGCCAGTATCTGGACCGCCTCGTGCGACACCGTCCTGTAAGCTTTTGTTACTCTCAGCAGGGCCAGTCTCTGTGTGGTTGCCAGCTTTCCACGCTGCTCTTTTGTCAGCCGCCGACTCCACGCAGGCGATGCGTACCTAATTATACCTAATACTACTCCTTTGTAGATTGTTCTGGTCGCTGGGTACTTGACCCCCCAGAACGCACTACCTATCCTCGACAGGCCATTTAGTGTGGTGGTCACCCTTCCTCTCAGGTACGCGATGTGTGGGCTGGGGTCGAATGATCTTCTGAACCTCACCCCTAGGTACGTTACCTCCTCACACGCGCGCACCCTCGCTCCACCTATGTCTAGGTTGATTGGGTGGGCTCTGTCGGTTTTCCCCTTCAGCAGCATCGCCTGTGTCTTCTCAGCCGCCATCCTCAGCTTCCTCTTCTGGCACCACTCCTCTACTAGGATGGCCAGTCCTTCGGCTTCCTCCTTCACTCTGGCCCTGCTGTTTGCCGTCACCAGCACCGCCAGGTCATCCACGTATGCAATGGCTCGGTACCCCTTCTCCTCCAACTCGCCAAGCAACTGATCAAAAACTAGTTTCCACAGTGCTGGCCCGAGTACCGAGCCCTGCGGGCACCCTCTCTCGATCCCCCTCTCCACCTCGAAGGAGTTACCCCGGATCTTCACTCTCCTATCCTTGAGGTAACTGCCCACGAGGGAGTATAGATTGCTGGGGGCATCGTACTCTTGCAGCCTCTGCATCACAACGGGCCACCAGACGCTATCGAAGGCAGAAGATATGTCGAAGAGTATCAACAACGCATACTTCTCCTCCGCGTCTTCGACGTCCCGCTTCATCTGCATCAGCGCATCCGCCGTGCCCTTCCCTTTCGTGGAACCGAACTGCCGAGGATGACCCGCCACGCGCAGCACCGGTTTCATCCTCTCCATTATCAAGTGCTCCAGGACTTTGCTGATCACCGGGAGGAGGCATATGGGCCTGTAGGCCTTAGGTTGTTCTTTATCTTTACCTCCCCCTTTGTACAGCAATCTGAGGTCCGCTTCCTTCCATTGATACGGAAAGTGCCCTCTGTCCAGGCACAGGTTGCATATGGCCAGAAGTTCGTCCTCTATTTGAGGCGCACTGTTCCTCAAGATCGCTGCATCGATCTCATCGAGTCCCGGAGCCCTTCCTACCTTCTGCTTCTCTATCGCCAGACGGAGGTCCCAGATGTCCCACGGCTCGCACAGGTCCGTTCCGGGAGGATACTCCGTAGTCCTTCTGATCATCCGGTCCTCCTCCGTGTCCAGGGTCGGATCGTCCCTGGGGTACGTATGATCAACGTACATGGCCACCGCCTCTTCCAAGGTTTCAGCCTGTCTACCGCCCACTCTCATGGCAGCCATGAGTTGGGCTGGCTTCACCTTGTCGAGTGCGACCCTGTACGGTATCCCCCAAGGATTTTTCTCCGTTTCCCTTTCAACGAATTCGTCCCAGGATGACTTCTTTCGCTGGCGCATCTCCTTGCGGTATTCTTTGAGCGTGCGCCTGCTTTCCAGTCGGAGCACCTCTCTTCTCTCCTCGTTCCTGCAGCCTTGGCACCTCCGCCTAGCCCGGTGATATTCCCGTTTCAGCGCCGTCAAGGTCGGCGTCCACCACGGCACTGGTCTCTCCCTCACCTTCCTCCTCCGAAGGGAGGCCTCTGCCGCGTCTCTCATGGCGCCTGTAAGCACGTTTATCCTGTTCTCGATACCGCGCGCTTCGTCATCTTCTGGCGGTTCCTCCCACTCCCTGTCCACCAGGATGTCCTCCAGCGCTCCACGGTACCGAGCCCAGTCCGCCGACCTTGTGACGTATCCACGCTCCCCTTCCGCTCGTCTCTCCTCTTTTCTTCTCACAACATCGAGCATGATGGTCCCATGGTCCGAGCTCGTATCAGACCTGAGGCCCCAGTTTGCCACTCGTCTCATCATTGGAGCTGAGGCCAGCGTTATGTCAATCCAGCTTTGTCCCCTGGGTCCCACAAACGTGGGCTCGCCAGGTTCATTCACTACTATCAGCTGGCATCTGGCTATGCTGTCCTCGAGCTTCATTCCTCTTCTATCGGTGACTTCTGAGCCCCAGGCCGTGCTCCACGAATTCGTGTCGGCGCATATCAGCACGTTACCGTACTGCTGCGCCACGGCCTCCATGTGCTCGATGTTTCCCTCAATGTCATCTTTCGGCGGCATATAGGCGGACAGAAGGGCAAAAGCTGCGTCTCCCCATCTAATCCAGCATGCCGCTTGGTCCGCCGTCGTATGCTGCTTCATCTCCATGACATCCAGTGAGGGGTTGAGGATTACTATCGCTGCCCTAGGCCTCCTCTCTCCACTGCTTTGGGCAACGACCCTTGCCGCCATCCCGAACCCGGTCACCTGGTTGTTTTTACAACAAGGCTCCTGTACTGCAAGCAGATCAAATCTCGCGGTTTGGGCCCTCAGCTCATCCGCCACCACCCTCCTCCGCGCCATGTTGATCTGCCCGATCCTCAGTTTAGTCATAATTAGTTCTCTTAGCCAGGAGTCTCATCTCACTCAGGTGTACCGGGCACTCCCTGCTTCCAGCGCAGTGCTTCAATTCGCTCTTCTTTCCACTCCTCTTGCAGTTCCTGCATTCCGGGGGCAGGCTTCTCTTTGGGCACTCCTTGTGGATGTGTCCCTCCTCACCACACCATCTGCAGGTCAACTGGTCCTTGCAATGGGCTTTGGTATGACCGTACCCTTGACACTTCAGGCACAGAGGGGGATCGATGTAGTCCCTCACTTGGAGGTTCCACCATCCCCCGCTGATACTGTCTAACAGCAATATTGCCATCCTCGTCCTCGGGTGAACCTCGAGTACCCAGGTCCTCTTGAGCCCGCTCCTCTCCCAGTTGGAGAAACATGCTCTCATCCAGTCCTGGGCACCTTGCGCCGGTCTCTCAAATCCCCTAGTCGCCAGCTTCTCCCAAATTACCTGCTCCAGCATCTCAGCTGACCACTCGGAAGGCACCCGCATTATTTCTAATCGGGGCTTCCTTTTGTTGGCCAGCTGTGCCGTCAGGCCTTTTTCCCGGAGCCTGTCCCACCCTATGAGCCTCTTGGCTTCTTCTGGGCCCTTTGTTCTTACGAGGACGTCCTTCTTATACGTGACCTTAACCACGTCGACGTCCATCTGGGCCTCTCCCCTTATGTCTTCGGGGAGCAATTTCCATATGTCCCTCGGGTTCCACCCTTCCTGACCCTTGATAGTGACATATGTTTCCTTAGCCTTCGATGCTCTCAGGGGGTCCTGCTCCGAGAGCAGCTTCCGCTCAACCATCTCCACCAGCCCGTTGAGCAGGTCGCTGTGGCTGGGCTGCCTCTCTTTGCCTTTCTCTTTCCGGCCCTCTACTGGAGTGGAGGTCTTTTGCTTCTTCCTCTTCCTCGCCCTCCTCTTCTTCCTCCTACCTTGTACCAGGGTGAACTCGCTCTCTTCCTCCTCTTCGGATTCGGGTCGCATGTTCCTCCCGCGGCACATCTATTTCTCACTCAGTTTTACCTTAATATTATTCACTATTAGACTATGGCCATTGTATTATACTATTATTATTGTTAAACAACATCCCTCAACAATGTTTATTGTAGATGTTGGGAAGACAATGGTGTAGGACCGAGGGTGTGGGTGGAGCCAAGGGATCACTGGGGTATGTAGCCCCTGTCTAGGCTCAGGTCATCGTTGTGTAAATCAACTCACCTCAAGGCAACATGTTTAGTCCTCTTTTATTTTCTATATTTTATTATCCTTTTTCCATTTATGAAATATATGATGCCTTAAGTATTCATTTATTTTTAAAGATATATTTAACTAGTTATTTATTGTTTGTTTTTGTAAGATGTATTTCATTCAATATATCTAAATTCTCCATACATGATGATTCATTTATATAGATTTGAATATTTTGTTTTCCCTATCGTTCCGGATGAATTCGCAAATTGTTTATGTAAAAATAAAGATTAAATTATTAATTCCACTTATCCCAATAGAACAAATCCGATCCCTAGGATTCCACTTGGACAGTTGGATCAGTTTTTTAACAATGAACTTCAGACATGAACATGGCATTATGCAGTTAGTGGAAAGATGGAAAAAAGTCTATTAAATAATAATCAATATATTGTAGATTAAAATAAATATTATGCCTATCATACATTGAGTTTTATTTCATCCTGAAAAACCGAAAGGACTTATTTGCCAACCTAATACATACCTACGGTCAGAAATAATTAATTACGTAACATATAATGTATTCTGTGAACAGCACGGAACCTTAAGCATTTTTTTAAAGCTCGGCGGTTCTTAATGATTTGCAAAAAAAAAAAAAAAAAGAAGAAAAGAACCAACACCCTTTCCTGGGATGACTAAATAGTTGAGTTGTTTTCCTCAATTCGGGACGAAAGCGAAGCGAATTTCCGCGGAAATCAAATGCTTAGATTTAACGAATTATTCCGGAAGAGTTTCCCTGATCGGGTTTCTAATTCGAAGCGGAGAGCAGCTTTATCCCACGCTCCTAGCTAGGAGTTTACTTAAACAAATGGCAGGCTAATATTTCAGTGTCAATATAAACTGTTATTTCAAAGAAAGTTTTCTCAAAGTATGACGAGCAAACAAAAACTCAGCAGTAGAATTAATAAAGTTTTAACAAGTTGAAAAACTCAACTTCGTAATACTTCAAAACGTTGTATTAAACTGGGGAAAACCATTAAGTAAACTATTCATCAGTTGCTGTTATTGCAAAAATCACATTTATACTGTTCAATTCTGTATATGAAATAACAACAAAATGCACACAAAAAAAAAAAAAGTAATACCATACTGATATTAATTAGTAAATCAATTAGACTAAACAGTTAGTAATTCTCATTACAAACAATAGAAAAATACATAGTGATACAGTGAAATTAATTGAGTTGAAAAACTGAAGAGATTGATAACAAAATGAAATTTAGCATATGAATTCTTATCCCAATGACCATCTAGAGTGGAGACAAATATAAATTAAAAAAAAAATAAATAAAAACAATATAAATGAAAATTAACATAAGAACAAAAATATTATTGAGTAAAAATAAATCATAACAAAGAAATAGCAGAAGTCTCCAATTTTATTAACAATAAAAACAAAAACATGTGTGTTAATAAAGATTAATATCCCTTAAATAACCAATAACATACAAAAAAAGTTTTTAGGATTAATCGATGATTTAAAGTGGGGTCTATATAATAATAATAATATGACAGTAAAACATATCAATTACACCTAAGATAAATAAAGAGAATGGAAACATTTCAAAAATTAGAAACAAGAAAAAAAAAAAAACAGAGAACCAATATTAAATATCCAAAAATATACTGTCGGTATATCATATGCTCAAAAGTACATTTTTGATGGACCTTAACTTTCATGAATGTTTTCGTGAATGTCGACTTTATTTATTGTTAAAAAAAATACATGAAGTGCACTTAAATGACACAAACCCTTCTACATAATCAACATAGTTACAATAAGCGCACGTTTTTCTGATTTAGGAAAAATTCACCAGTGATTTTTTTGGAATAAACCGACGATATAAACGATTCGGCACCCACAAACCATTCTATCAAAAACAAAAATAATTTCTTTCGAATTAAATAATAAGGTTATAATGGAAAACGTTAAAAATCAGAGAATAAGGAAACTAATAGCAGCTATATACTCGTATAATAATAAAAATAATAAATAAAATCAATAATATAAGCTTTGGAGCAGAAATGTGATATTTTTGATATTAATAATGGAGATATCATTCAGTTCATAATAGGATAATTCAAATTTTAATGCCTAAAAAATGGAAGTATTTTTTATTTCCTTAAAAAAAAAAAAAAAAAATGAATGTAAGAAAGAGATCGTGATGCGATATGTCTTGACAATATGATATTCCACTCGGCAGCGATATGGCGATATAGTCGTATTACTATATATTCCACCACACAGAGCGCGATAATCCACAGCGATGGAATCGATATATCATGTATAATGGGTATATATATATATATATATATATATATATATATAATATATATATATATATATATATATATATATATATATATATATATATATATATATATATGGAAATATCATTCAGTTCATAACTCTATGATTCAAATTTGAATACCAAATATTAGAAATATTTTTATTTCCTCAAAAAAAAATTAATTCCTTAAAATAAAGTTATTTTCACATTACGTATTTAAAATATCTAGACCAGATTAAAAAAGAAATAAAAAAACTCAGATTCATTTGGTGTCCTAACATAGGATATTTAAAAAAAAATATATTATGGTTCACTTTAAGAAAAAACTTTTTATTTTTTTTTATTTTATTTATTTATTAATGATATTTACAACTGTATTACAAGTAAAAATACATTCAGTAAATGTGTACAATAGAATATAATAACATGAAATCATTTGGTGAGAAACTACCCACTGGTAGCACTCTAAAAATGTATTTACAAAAGGAGATCTCGAGGCCATCTTCAGGAAAAAACTTATAAGGCAGTTGAAAAATGAATGTAGAAATATAAAGTGAGAATTACTAATATCTTTATTTGATTTTGCTACGCAATTATAAAAGGAGCATTTGTTATTTTATAATAAAATAACAAATTTTGTACCAAGACAATGGCATCTATCAAATGAATTAATTTTATTTTATATTGAAAAACGTTTCGAGAGAATAATTCATCTGTGGTTCAATTTACATTATAATTAATCATGTAGGCATTAAAAAAAAACAATTAATATATTTTTAAACAAATAACACCTTTATTTTTTATTCTTTCATTGTACTTTCATATGTATAACATATGTGATTTGTAATAAAGTGCTATTATCTATTTAATAATAGTTGAAGAAGAGAATGAGCCACAAGGATGGAAACATTATTCAAGATATAATAAATTGAATGAATTCGAAGGATTTAATTTCTTCATATCTATAGTTTTACTATCTATCCAGTTGGCGCCACAAACCGAGGGTGTGACGACTTCTTCTTCCGCCCGATAGACTTGGATGTATCAGCTCCAGCAGAATTCCAGGTCGGTGAATTGAAAGGAATTCTGGAGTCTGTTAGTCGGTCTCCCTTCCTTCTGGTTGGGTCAACCAAAGCATCGAATACTTTCCAAGAAATATGTTCTGCCTTCGTTCGAATCACATATCCCTCCCAATAGAGTAGTCAGGTCATAAAGTTTTGATGTGCCTCCTTCAATCTTGTTCCTCAACAAAGCCGTAAATGCCATACATTTTCTGTTAAAATATCAAAAGGTGATATTAAAAAGATTTTATGATATTCCGAGCTTGTGAAGAGTAAGTTAATTCAGGTCAATTCAAGATTTTATACCGCCTGACGTTCCTTATCTCATGATCGACTGATGGATACCGATCAGCTTCAACAAGCAAAAATAACAACGGATAGCAGACTCTGGATCATTTCTTGTCAGTGAAGGTAAGAAAGAGATCGTGATGCGATATTCCAGAAAAACCTGTAAACCAGGAAGGCAGCGATATGGCGATGTACCTGCTTCATACTCATCTCTCTTTAGAGGGTCCTGCAAATTCTCTACTTCAATTCTTGAATAGGCTCTAATCTTCTGCTTTCTTTCCTTGAGCACTCGGGTATCAGCAACCACGATACAACAACAGTATCAACATTGTTGTTTTATCAAAAAAGTAAGCATAGCTGCATTACATAGGTCAGAAACATCAACATACATAATAAAATATTTAATAAATGGAGTCATAATACGATTTTCGAAATTGCTATAGTATTGAGAAACAGTAAGATTAACAAAGTACTCGTGCACGATTTGCATCAAGTGATTATTTTACGTCTTGTAGTAAATTTTCTTTTCGTTTTTCGTCCAATACCTGTTCTATTTAATATATTCATTAGTTTAACCGAGTCGTTATTGAGTCCAAGCCAGTAATATTAAAGCTGGTTCATAACTTGACCGCTTTCGAATATATTACAGAGAATCTACAGATTTGTATTAGGTATATATACAAACACCTATATATATAAAAAATACACTTACAAAAAAAAAACACTCTTATGAATGTATATACGAGTATATATATATATTAAAAACAAAATACTAAAGATTGTTACGATGACAAAACCTTGATATTAATTTATTCATGACCGCGAATCGAGAAAGTGGCGGAAGCTGTAATATGACCTAAGAATATTTTCATTTCGATTCGATCTCAATGGCATCGCTTGGTGTAATATACAAGCAACTTCCGGTGCTTCACTTCGCATTAATGACTAACACTGGATAAAATACATCGCCTTCAAACAATGCTCATGTTAATCGTTTTACTAAATTAAAATATTTCATTCGTGTCAACACTTCTATCCTAAAAGGTCATCAGCGGTGGCCCTTATTCTTTTCTCCTATCTTAATATCCAGTCCATT